AGAGAGAGAGGGGAGAGGAAAGGGAAAGGAAAGAGAGAGAGAGAGAAAGAGGAAAGAGAGGGAGAGGAAAGAGGCATACAATAATTCATTTGCATTTAATTGTAATGGTTCAAAGAATGTTTGGAAAAATGTTCGGCCCTCCAGCACGTTCACTTCATCCAATCTGGCCCTCTTTGAAAAAAGTTTGGACACCCCTGAGCTAGATAGCACAAGAAAGGTCCTGACTGAAATGTCAATCAGTAACAGGCTACTACATAAAGTATAGGTAATCCTTGACTTACAATCACAGTTGAGCCCAAAATTTCTGTTGCTAAGCAAGACAGTTGTTAAGTGAGTTTTGCTCCATTTTACAATCTTTCTTGCCACAGTTATTAAATGAATCGCTGCAGTTAAGCTAGTAAAATGGCTTAAAAGTGAATCTGCTTCCCCATTGACTTTGCTTGTCAGAAGGTTGCAAAAATAATCACATGCCCCTGGGACACAGCAACCATCATAAGTATGAGTCAGTTGCCAAGTGTCCAAATTTTGATGACATGACCAGGGGGTTGCTGCAACTGCCATGTGACAAACACTCATATGTCACTTTTTTCAGTACCATTGTAACTTCAAACAGTCACTAAACGAATGGTTGTAAGTCTTGGGCTACCTTTCATTAGGGGCTCTTCAAATGGGCTATTGAAGTTTCCCTAACTGCCTGTACTGGGTAAGGAGTTGTGCTGGTTGGCCTGTAAGGTTCCCTTCGATTCTAATTCTATGGCCAACAGCACACGAGGTATTCTAATGAGTGAATACTTAAAGCTGAAAATGTATTCTGGTATTGCTGGTGAAAGTAATATACATTTCTGCACAAATCACATGGTTCTATTCTGGTATTTGGGTAAAATTTTAAAGCAAGATTAATACCAATTCTATGAACTCTTAATAGCAGGAAGTAATTGGGAAAGAAATAAATGTAAAGCTATTCTTTATTAAAGATGTTCAGAGTTATTAGTTTTCATAATGTATACGTTCTTTAAAAGCCCAGACTGTTTTCTAATTTAAACAGTGGAACAATTTTCAGAGTTTCCCCAAAATCAATTGGAAAGCAAGATTTTAACAAGTTCTATAGTTAACAAATTGATATTCTTAGATTAAAGTGGCTTCCCAGTTTATGAATATTTAAAACTATGATTGCCTGTTTACATAATAAAAGTAGCTGAGATACATATTGGATGCTTAATTTAGAGCAGTGATTATCAAGTTCTCATATCTTTTTCTATATCTTTTCTAGAAATATTAACAAAAAATCATGAATTCAGTAATAAGATAACATGGGTGACATCTCTCTTCAGTGCCTTTTTTTGTTTGTGCATTTTGCTTTGCTTTGTTGTTAGCTTTGAAATGCTCTGCTACTACTCATGAAGAAATGGTCATGCCACTCCTGTCATTAAGTTTGTAAATAAAATTTGGTTTTTCCTTAAAAGAGGAGTGGATTATTCTGAATCTTAAGAATAATGTCTAAGCTGAACTTTTTGTTGGTAGAGAAAAAAAATGAAGGAAATCAGTTCTAGAACTCAATGCCAGTTGTCATATAAGCATGAATAAATTATTATGTGAATACGTCTATGGAGATTCTCAGTCATCCAGGTCATGGTTTTCCCAAAGGTGCTTTTTTCAAAAGGCAACTGGACTTTGTTTTTCCTTGAAGATATTACACTTCTCATCTAAGAAGCTTCTTCAATTCTGAAGCTTCTTGGATGAGAAGCGAAACGTCTTCAAGGAAAAACAAAGTTCAGTTGCCTTTTGAAAAAAAGCACCTTTGGGATTATCATGTGAATATTTCAATATCAAAGCAAAGATTTGCTTAGTACAGTGCAAAGTAATCATTTCAAGTAAGTTTTACTGAGAAAAAGTTTCAGAATTCATAGAAATCCTCTTAGGCTTGTTCAAAAATTCCAATTTTGGTAAGCTTTCAGTAAACAAGCATTATTGTTATACAAATTAAGCTTAAAATGTTTTATTTTAGGTAAGTTTTAAGTAGGTTTGGCTAAAATCAGAGATCCTGACAGACAGAACCTCAACAGCCATAAGATTTTTGGGATTTTGTTGTCCAAGATCAGTGGTAAGGCTCTGGAGGACCAAGTTCAACATCAGATTTTTCCTTACAACTTTGTAACAGCTCTGATATGAGTTGCTTTAATATTTGAAAGATCTTATCAGTGGCGTAGTATGGATTATACCAGGGGTAGTCAACCTTGGCTCTTTTATGACTCGTGGACTTCAACTCCCAAGGTTGACTACCCCTGGATTATACAATGAGCAGAATGGAAAGAACTGACACCTGTTTGATCAAGTAGTTCCTTTATCCTTTGCCATACCCTGATGCAGGAGAAAACTTGGATCAAGCATAATAATTCATTTTTAAAATAAAAACACGGGGAGGAGTGTTCCAGTCTTTCACTGACAGGACACCTGGATAGTGACGTACTCCAGATAGATCATAGAATTGTTATTTAAAAGCTGTATGCATTTCTGAGGTTTACTGCAGTGTATGTTCCTGCTGTTAACTTTTCTTCTATATCTTCCATCAGCATATATAATTTAGGCAGAACTACTTAAAATTCAGGAAATAATGTGAAATTTTAGAATTTGTAAACTTTGGAACACTGTTACCATTGCAGTAACAGTAGCATACTGTAGATACACTTGTTACTGAATTACTGTTACGTAATCAGCTTGTTGATTCTAAATCCCAAATTAATGGATGATAGACCAAAGTTTTATTTGTGTAGGTAGGTAATTAGATGTAAAATAATTCATTTAAATTCTACGGTTCAGCAGGTGTTTGAAAATGTGCCACAACTAAGTCTTTGTAAATAGCAGAGTTCACAAACCGAGGGTAGGAATCTCTGAGCATCAACATATAAACTTGGAATTGTGCTTCATCAAAAGTATGTATTGATGGTTCCATTATGTTCCGGTTAATAATTCCTCTTGCCCTGGAGTCCAGACTGACCTGTTAATAAATGAATTTATTAAAGTGTTCAATAATATCTTTCCTCAATTCTGTTGCTAACAATGGAAACAATTTGATAGTTTCACAATGGTCCTGAAAATTGTGTAGACATTTTTTATAACTGGAGGACATTCTATTACCACTAAAACATTTGACAATGTTCTACTTTCATCTTATTTTAAAATCCATAACTTTTGGTTTTCCTTGAAGAAAGAGAAACAAAAGGTTTTCTTCAAATGGTTAGCATTTGAAGCATATCCAGGATGGATTTAAAACAGACCTGGACATTTTGGAATCCATCATATTAAGGTATCTAAATCTCCATCAGGGATTAAAACAATTTTCCATCACAAATCAAATAATACATTCAAAGAGCTTTCACAAGTGCAGTCCCTTGTCTTCATGAAATATAAACACTTGTTTTTAAAACTTTTTATTGAAGGATAAGAATTGTATGTTAAAAATCTATTGTATGATTTTAAGTGATAATTGGTTATTAGAATATTACACAACTAGTATTTATCAATACCTGAAAGGTATTTTAAGGCATTGTATAATTGCAACAAGGTTAGATTTTAATAAATCTATGTATGTATCAATTTATTATGCAGCTGGACTTCATTAGCAATGGGAAAAGAATGCAAAAATAAATCTTTTGAAACCTTATCCTATGTAATTGAGCCATGTCAGTCTTCTAGAAAGAAAAGTTTAAATTTTATAACTGTCCCCTAAATTTTATAACTGTCCCCTACTTATGCACTTATCCCTATCCTTGTTTGTTTGCATAAAGATAATTTATTCTTTTCAGTTAGAACAAATATATTCTAATATTTTAGTATTTCAGTTTTTAGCCCAAGAACAACTTCCCCTCAAATCACCTCACAAAATAAATGTTTAAATCTTATGAAAAAATAATTTTAAAACTACAAACTTTAAAAATCTTAACAATCTTGTAACAGTCTTAATCTTTAAAATACGCCATCTGAGCAGGATCAACTTGGAACAGTTCATTGTACCATCTTTGGTTGACTCATTTAAAATCAAGGGTATTACAAAATGTTACGAACCTCTCTTGGAGAAAGAATAGAAACATAATCTTCATATATTCGCCTGACTTTTTCCTCAATTACACTCTTGTTGGATTCCTGTTTTAAGTCCTCACAGGCCAACCAGAAAAGCATGTTTTCTTCACTGTATTCTGTCCGAAGGAATTCTCTGAAAGCATTTCGACCTGAAGGTGTTGCCATCAGTTTATCAAAGGAATGCCTCCAAGCACTTGCTTCTTCCAAACTATGTGTTGAGCTATAAATGAAATAAATGAATGAAAAATAATAAATATAGTTACCACTGTATGGGAGGAAAATGTGGAATTTGGGAGGTTTTTATGCATTGATACATCTGAAATTTGAAGCAATTTAATTAAAAAATGAAAAAACAGTGGTGAATGGTATCTTATTATGTTGTTAACATACACTGTCAGTATTTTTTCCATCTGTTATGTTATTATAGTATGTTTATTACTTATCCGACCAGTACTATTATGTACTATATATATTTACTCAGTATGACCAGTATTCTCATGTTCTTTGTTATATGCTATCCTGTTGCTGCAATATAAGGAACTAAAGTAAAAGAGTCATATTTTTTTAATGTTTTCATAAAGTAAAGTGTTAAAATAGAAAAACATTCTTATATTAATTTTTCATATTTTCACAGCCACATTTTAACTAGACTCAGTTTGCAGGTGAATGTATGCAGTGATCTATATCTTGGTAACTAAAATATGCTAAACTGGTATGAGGATGGTAATAACCTTATCCAATGTGATTCATCCAAATATGTAGTACTACAACTCCCATCACTCCCAGTCAGCTGTCAGAATTACCAGAGCTTTAAATCCACACAATGGTTTTATTGCGCAGTTAATCCTTACCTTTGTTCACAGTATGGAATCATTTCTGATCCAATTTCATGTGCTGCTGCTCTTTCATCTTGATTCCTAACAGTAAGACTGTAATAAAACAGAGTTTGGTAAAACTGAAATAAACAATTTGCTGAGATCTTAAATTTACCACTAGGGTTGATACCTGAATACAGTTACAGTCTATTTCCCCCAGTATAAGAATTGCACTAAAGTACCACATAATTTCTTCTAAACGTGATGTGTTGAACGATAAGGCATCTTATTTTTAATCTGTTAGAAAAATATTGGTTTGTATAACACATCACTTGTCTGTGCTTTATTTTAAAAATATAGAACAGAAGAGAAAATAATATTTTAGCAAATGTGATTTTTTTCTAGAAAATCTGTAGAATGCAAGAGGACAAGAATGGCAAAATGTTACACTGGGAGATTTATCTGAAAGCAAATTAGCACTTTGATGTCCAGCCACTCAGGGTTATTTATGTCCACTTCCCCCACTGCTATTTGTTCTTATGTCAAGAAGATCCCTTTCTCATAATTTTATCAGACTGCTTCCTATGCTTCCTATTTTGAACTCATAAATCTACAGGGAATCTATTGCATTGGAAAGAACTGCTCTACCTTCTTACCTTGAAAGAAATTTTATATTTGATTTAGAATTAGATAAATGTTCAATAGGATAGACTCTGTGGTAAGTGTTACCCAATTACAGACTTGGCTTTCTATTTCTTCCCATTTTGCAATACTAGGTCATCTAAATACACAGTGTCTTTATAGATGTCTTAATTTCCTCGTCTCTACAAAATTTTTGTTCCAGTCCCTGACTCCTTTATCTCAAAGTTCAGAATGAAAGGAGTTGCAATGTCAAAAATCTCTAATTGGACTGTTTTACTTTAAAAAAGGGGAAATCTGATTTTGATGGAAGTAATGATCTTAATAAGGGGCGCAATGGCTCAGCACTTAAAGATGCTGAGCTTGTCAGCTGATAACTCAGGTTCAAGACCTGAGCACTGTGCAACATGGTGAGCCCCTGTTCCTGCCCAGGTTCTGCCTGCCTTACACTTTGAAAGCATGCAAATGTGAGTAGATTAATAGGTACCACTTTGGCGAGAAGGCAACAAGTGTTTCATGCGTCTTTGATGTATAGCCATGTTGGCCTCATGACCACAGAAAATATCTTCAGACAACGCCAGCTCCCTTGGCCAAGAAGCGGAGATGAGCGCTGCACCCTACAGTGGGACATGACTGGACAGGGAAACCTTTATCTTTAATGATCTTAATATATTTTAGCTTTTCAAAGTTGTAATGGATCTAAGTCAAGAAAACAGCATATGGTGCTGAATATGTCTTTCACTGTTTATCCACTCAGTCAAAGATTCCCTTCTCTTTTTTTTCTTTAAAAACATAATTTAATTAGGAAATTCAGACTTTAGTCCTGTTGCAACTGAGAATCTAATGGGTATTTATATACTTAACTGTTGGATAAAGGTTGTTTTCCTTTAAGGTAACCTTAGTTGAATATGAAACTTCAAGTGTCAGTAATCTGGTGGATATCATCTGAGATACTCTTGAACCCATCCCACAAATAAATAAAAAAAGTTAATGGGATCAAAAATGGAGAAACATTTTCTCAAGAATTTCAAGGACCACAAAAAGGCTGTCTGGGAATCAATATACACCTAAATTGAACAGTTATTCCACCAGTCAAGGAAGGGATGTTAATGGAGAAAAAAAAATAGAAAGTAAGAAAGCACCAAGAGCAGGTCACAAAACAGACTTCAGAGCAATCACTGGAGCAATTGGCTAAGTTTAAAAAAAAAAAGGTAGACAGCCTTAAGAGGTGGCCCAGATGAATTTAGACAGGCAGTAATGAGACAGAGAGGTTGTCTTAGTAGGTATGTCTAGAAAGCAGACTAGATTTGTAGAAGATGTTTTAGGTTCCTTCAGTGATGAGATGGGCAGCATATAAATGTAATAAATAATAAATAATTTAATGGAAGATTTTCCCCAGGATTTTGGATGGAAATTAAGTGTTTTTGTGGGGATCGGCATATGTTCGGTTCTCTGCCTACTCGGTGAATGCCTTTTGGAATGATAAATGAGAACATAAACATCATTAGATATTAACCCCCCTTGTTTGCTTTTGTTTTGAGTGCAGTTATCTGTACTGGCTTTTTCAAATACTCATACTTAAGGATATTATTCTTATTACTATTCATTTTTTCTTTCAGTTCAGATTATTGGAAGAAATGCTTTTTGTAAACTTGGAGTATAAGTAGAACATTCATTTGTAGCTTGTTTCACAACAGTATTTGTTCCCAAAATTGTTATTCCAAAGAAATAAACCATGTTGAGATTATTCTATTTCTGGTCAGATTCCAAGCCACTAAAAGTATTAGGACCTTTTTTTGGCATCACAGTTACCTGATGATTTAACAAGTATTTTTAATACTTAACTGAGCAATTGTTTCCATCATTGTATATATCTATATCTATTTTAAAAGTAGTAAAAATATAATAACTATTTATATGAAATAAAAAGGAAAAGTTTTATTATGCAGAAATTGATTTGTATTTTTCTTTATACTTGTAATAGAAATAAATGTTTGAAACTATTGTAAGAACTTTGAAGTATATATATATATATATATATATATATATATATTATTTGAAATATATGCCTTTCAAGTTAAAGAAATAATTAACTGTTCAAATTGATCTGTTCTGGATTTCTTGAAGTTACCACACATATCTATTCAGTAGATTGTCAGTCTCAAATTTATGGGAGAATAACTGTGACCATTTAAAGTTTTCCTGCAAATATGGAACCAGTGATAAAAACAACTTTCAAGCCCATTGAGCAATCTAAGTATTATTGTAAATATAATATTGGCTGTCATTTTTGAAAATGAAATCCAGAACAGCTAGCGGGGCACTACATGGACTGGGCTATTCTTAATGTTGATATGAGTAAAAGTTCTGACTTACAATTTATTGACGAAAATGTGAATAAAATAGACTGGTGGCTAAGAAATAAGACAATTATTCTAAAAATATGTTAACTCAAAGATATCAGCACACTACTTTAGATTACAGATTCTATGTTATCCCAATTGGCTGCAGTGTGTTTGTGGCTGATATTTTGTACTTCACATAACTTAAACACTAGGAGCGTGTTCCATGTTGGATAGGTCTTCCCTGTTGGATAAGTCTTTCATGTCTTCTGCAAATCAAGCTTGATTCCTAATGACTCTAGCAACATGGCCTGTTTGATTTTTTTTTAGCAAGAATAAGGAAGTGGTTTGCCACTGTCATTTTGGGGGCATTTTCTCAACCTCCCTGTCTACCTGCAGCACTGTATTTCCTTGACATTTTTCATTCAAGTGAAAACTGCTTAGTTTTCAAGCCCAGATAAGGCCAGTTCTCAACAGAGCAAACCTCAAATCTTAAATTTGTTCTGCTGAAAAGAGACTGCTTTGACTCTGGCTTGTTGAAGAATTATGAGTGCCTTTGTGTATAAATAGTTTTACAGTACTATCTTCTTTTCTGCCTCACAGTTGCATTTAGTAAATATTTTCAAAATACTAATTTCAGGTTGAAGCTATTTTCTTCAGCTACCAGCACTTTTTCAGAGACAATAATCTAATTTTCTTTCTTTCAAGAGTGCTGGTTAAAATTACATTGTTCTCAGCTTTTATCTACTATGTATCAAATGTTTCAAGGTCTTCTGACATGCTTCTGTACTGAAGAACTTATCATTCACAATATAACAGCAACATACGGCCATCTATGAAATGCATTTCATGCTGCTCCATGTCTGGATTTTATGTACTATGTTGTAGGAGCAGGTAGGCAGAATCTGGACTGAGTACTGGGTAGATTTTCTTCTTTCCAAGCTTTTTAAAAAATCCATTCCTTGGTGTTTTGAAAAATTCCAATAGCACTATTTTTTTTTTACCTACCAGCATTGCATATACATTTTTACCTAGCCAAATAAATAATTCACTTTCTGAATTCAATAGCCTATTGTATTTAAAAGAAATAAAGTAAAAACAAAGTGGAGCACTAAGCAGTGCAATTCATATTTTATGAATAATCTAATTTAATCCTGAATCAGATTATTGGTCCATTTAGCGCCCACTGCGCCCACCCCATTGCCGGCAATGGGGGAAAAGTTGCAATACGTGACGTGAGTTTGACATATCTGATTTAGCCATTTAAACCACTTCCAACTTTATAGATCTAAAATGTATTTGTGAATGAAGTTATCCTGTTTAGAAAATTAAATGGGAAACACATAATGTATGAATAGCATCAATCCTGCACCTTGGTCCAACTCTGCAAACAGCATGATTCTGTTTTCATCTCCACACAGCTGTTGCCTTGCTTAGTCTAGGTATCTTCCTTTCCTGTTTATCTGATTACCCAAGGGACATATGTCTATGTTCCTATGGTGACTAGCTGTCATCTTCCCTGTGGGTGGATTGAATATATTGTAAAGGCATACCAGGAACAACTGCAACAGCAGCACCAGCAGAAGCAACAGGGATTGGAGCCTTGAGTCTCTACCCCAGACTGGGCAAGTAGAGAGCTTGGTATCTCCTGAGATGCAGAGGTCTGCCTTTTGCGCATTTCCACCTGCTCTGATCCCATGGGCTGCAAAACAGAATATTAGGAAATAGATTAAACATGCCAGAAAAAGGCAGGGCTTTTTTTCTCAAAGAACGTCCAGAACGGAGTTCCGGCACCTTTTTTGGATAGAACCTTGTAGGGTAGGCAAGGCGGGTTGTATGACGTGTGTGAATTCTGGCACCTTTTTTTTTTTTTTTTTTAGAAAAAAAGCACTGGAAAAAGGTATATGCTGGGTTGCTGATAGCTGCCATGCTGCAATGGCAACCAATGGTTTTTCTAATTGCTGTTTGAAATGCAAACAGATCTATGTCTTAACAAATGGAACACATGGGCTTCCTCATTTCTCGGACAGCTGCTTTGTTGTTCAGCAAAAAATCCTGTGAATGAGGCAGAAAGAGTGCTTGTTGAATCTGAAAAGCATATTTTCAGGATTGACAAGAAGATTAACCTAATCATTATTTCCAAAAGTTTTTTTGGCTTGCATAACACATGAATGCTATAATAAAACAGATGGTATATTATTACATACTGCTTTATTCCGGCTTACTTTTGTTCCCAAATTATACCAAAACTGATCTTGCATTCCTATTTAGGAAAGACAGGTTCCAAAAGAAAAGGGAGGAGAAAATACTACACTTTATTCCAGAAATACAAAACCTATTGAATACTTTAAGGTTTTGTGTTATTTATTGCTTTTTCTGTTTTAGACTTTCTGGATGAGGTTTTGTTGTGACGCATCTGGCCCATGGGCTGGCAGTTTGACACCCCTGCTTTATACCATCAACAAGAAGATCTGCCTATTTCAGGCCCTTGGGAAGAACTCAATAGGTGGATAAAAACGCCAAGTCCAGTCTAAACATCTGGCCAACTGTGTGATGAACTATAATAGCTTTACTAACGATAGTAATAACCCCCAGTGAGGTATTACTTTGATATGGTTGTAGGGCTTGCATGCCGGAAGAAAGATGAGAGCTGTGCCATGCTGGATAGGTCTCATTAGAGCAGCCAGACCAAGTGTGTCTCTCCCATAAACAATATGATCAGACGTAACTTTACAGAAGCCTATACTGCATCAGTCAATGCCCAGGTTAACAAGAACCAAACTAGATATTGGAGTTCCTAGAGATCTGATGACAAGGGGGCTACAGATTCAGGATTATTGACTGAGTAACCAGGGTCAGCAGTTATTGGAGCAAAAATTACTTACACATTGCATATACAAAGACTGAAAACATAGATTGCATGCTCAGTACATTAAAAAAAACTAGCAGGCAAAACAGATAACTCTGACAATGGCTAAGAGCAGGGAAGTTGAAGAAAGAGTCAAAAGTACTAATTCTGGCTGCACAAGACCAAGCCTTAAGAACAAATTGCATATAAAACCAGAAGACAGCAACAGACAGTAAATACTGTATCTCTGCAAAGAGAAGAAATAGTGGTGCTGCAAGAAGATCCCACAGACTGATTACAAATAACAGTATGGCAAAGTAGCAACAGTGGTTCATTGAAACAGCTGCAAAAAATACCTTTCGCCTGCAAGCAAGAACTGGTGGGACTACAAAGTAGACAAACAATAGAAAACGAGGAAGCTAAAGTGCTTTGGGACATTAGTATTCAGACCGAGAAACATATGCCATAGAACACCCCATGCTTAACTATTGATAAGAAAGACAAAGGAAGTCTGAATAGTAGACATTACAATACCTGTAGATAGCAGAAGAGAAGAGAGAACTGGAGAAAATATATATTTAAAGACTTGTAAATAGAACTACTGTGGCAAACAAAGCAAAGACAGTACGAATAGTAATAGGCTCCTTGGCCACAATTCCAAAAACTCTGGAACACCACTTAAACACCATCAGCATTGACACAATCACTTTACTTGGAACAGTTTACATCCTGCAACGATACCTTTAATATTATTAAAAATAATGTCTGGCTATCGCAGGTCCTTGGGAAAGTCTCAGTAGGAAGACAAATGTGCTAAATACAGTCTAAATATGTGGCTGACCGGGCAACCAACTACAATAATAATAAAACAATGACACAAACTGGCCATTATGCTCCTAGTGGTTATTGATACACTGGGTGCCATACCAAAAAATCTTGGACAGCACTTAGAAAATCTGAGCATTAACAAAATTTCCATCTGACAGTTGCCATCTTGGTTGGATCCACACATATATTAAACTAATACATTACAACAATGTAGGTTCTTGGGGAGAACTTGATATGTACAAAGGCCAATAACTGCTAAAGAATTGGAAGCTGTAATTTCACGTTGTTTTGTAATACAATATCTAATCTAGCCGCACATTTGTTCATGTATTATATGCAAGCATATGTTGACTTTTTAAAGCACATATTGGTCTAGGTTTAAGTATTTCTGAGAGTCCTTTTATTCTGCCTTTTGAGATCAAAAGGATCATCTTCAAAGGAGCTTAGAAAATAATTTTCCCAAACACACAATCCTTCTCCCCTAAGCAAATAAGCTCTGCAGAACATTAAAATAGCACCACCACTGAAAATTAGAACTACGTATAGTAACTATCCAGTTACTATAAACAGTCTAAAACCTTTTAATGAGATATTTTAAAAAAATCTTTCTGAACTGTAATTTTATCCAGACATTATGATCACTTATCTATCCCACAGAGCCCCTCCTTCCAAATGTCTTTGTCCACAACAGCCATCATCCTCAGCCAGCTTGCAAAGTTGAGAAATGCAGAGGAAGTGTGCTAATTTTGTTCAAGAAGAGGGTAGGTTCTAAATTTGGGAATTTGTGAGATCAACCAGCCAGATACCTCTTTTCATTTAGGCAAATCATGAGTATGTTGATGGGCTCATCCTATCTACCTGAAAATATATTTATTGTTCTATTTTATTATCCTTTGTTGAAGTTAGTTTCAAAATTATTTTAGACTTTTAGGCTGGCAATAGAAAGTTTGCTAACTGTGAATCACATGTAGTGTCCTGCCTGCCTGCTCTTCTCGCGAGTTCGAAATTGCGCCCTCTCGTGTTAAACTGAGAAAGATTTGGCTGACTGAAGGTATGTGTTACTTTCCGTTCGTTTCCTGGTTTTGCCTCTTTAAAAATAACGTGTGTTCTGTGTGTGTGTGTGTGTGTGTGTGTGTGTGTGTGTGCGCGCGCGCGTGTTTGCTAGATCGAATCTATTCCAGTAAGGGATTTTTTTTTTTGGCTTGGAAGACAAGAATAAACGCAACACTTTTTCATCCACCCATCCACCTTCTTCGGATATCTCTTATGTACAAATACAGGTATTTTTTCCCCTGGCTCGTACTGTACAATTCTTTTCCAACCCACGTTCGTTCTTCCTCAGTTCCGAATGAATCGTATGAAGTTTTTTGATGCTGACCTTGCCTGGCATTTTTTTTTCCAGATTAACGTCCTGTCGGAGTTGGCAATGCTGTTAAATTTTCCTCTCCCACCTTGCCCCCTTCAGGTTTCCTAGAAAAACCAGAATAATCGCAAACGTCAACCTGACAAAACTACCGCCCCTACTTTCCACAGCCCTCCAAGGAGAGCGCCCTTCTGACTGAACATGCTGTTCTTTCTTCCCGCGTGGCTTCTCGCGTCCAATGCGTCTATTTCTGAGTCTCATCTAGGATCTGTGACATCTGAATCTAGGAGTGGAAACCTTTGTATTCCAGTTTCATCTTTAACCGTTGTGTCCCCAGCGTCTAAGGGCACGGCAAGAGCAGAGAGGTGAATGCCATTCCGACAGATTTCCGCAACCCGTTCTATGGTAGTGATTGAAGTACTTACAGCTTTCCCTTCGATCTCCGGAGTCAGGTGGAAATCCTTGCCTTGCTCACCTCTGTTGGCACTATCGCTTGCACACTCGCGATTGATTCCCCAGTTCTTCCCGCTCAAAAGCCCTTCCCCGTTTTTTTTTTCAGTTACCAAACTTCTCGAGTCCTTTCCCGTATTCCCTATTTTTGTTGCCCGAAAGCGAAAAGACTGGCTAGAAACGTGGCGAGCTGAAGGCTTTGGGAACCAAAGAGACCGCCCTTTACGGAGGAAGCGTCACTTGCTGTCCTTTCAGGACCTCGGACAGTTCCCGAAAAGTCGCTCAAATGAACCGGCGGTGGATGAATTGATATTCCTCTCTCGTTTTTTTCCCACCTTCACCCTCCATCCCCGGTCCCGTGAATCACTTCGGCTGGTGGAAACACCCTGCAGGCATGTGCGTGTATAAATGCCAGCTCGGTTAGTTGACATGTGAAGCAATAAACAACACACAGAAGGAAAACAAGCCTGAAGAGAGGGGCGGGAGAGGGGCGGGAGAGGGAGCGACGCCGTTTCCTGCTTAGGTCTCCCTCTGGGAAGACTAATAGAGGAATAAACAAGAGTGTTTGTCGAAAGAAGAAGAAAAAAAAAACCCAACAGAGTAGCTTTCACTAACCCGATGCCCGCCCAGTGTCCTGAGCTACCCACCCTTTTGCTTTCAGGCAAGGCTTGGCCCATGGTACTGGTAGTCCAAAACATCCGGGCGGCGCTGGATAGGTCTGATAGAGGTCAGCCGCCGTCCTCTAGCAACTAACGGGGAAGCTGGTTAAAGAAGCGATTTGTGTCGTTCCGAGGATGTCTTTCCTCCCTGAACCTCAGCGCTGAAAGGAAGCATGGCACCGCCTCAGACTTTAAAGGGTTTGTGGGAAAGAGAAAACTGGCTTTTCCACCGGATCAGTCGAGACGGATCAATAGAGGGAAGAAGGGTCTAAAGCAGGGGTAGTCAACCTTGGCTCTTTTATGACTCGTGGACTTCAGCTCCCAGAATTCCTGAGACAGCACAGCTGGCTCAGGAATTCTGGGAGTTGAAGTCCACGAGTCATAAAAGAGCCAAGGTTGACTACCCCTGGTCTAAAGGAAATTCTTTAGATTTCCTAGCAGGGAAGTGTGGAAAAGCATTTTGCTGGGCTGTAGAGCTTCTTGATGACTTCTGCCCTCTCCGTTTCTAAGTTCTGTTTCACACAGCCACCTCTGGAGAAGGCAGTGGAGCAGCT